CTCAACTGCATGGGACTTACACAGACCACAGAGGGTTACAGGGGGGAGTATTGGTGAAAGGTTGTGTTTTTCACTCCAATCCAGCTCATTGGGATGTTGTTATAGTGTATTCTGCTGCTGCCATGTTTCTGTTTCAATTCCCATAAATATAGTGGCTGCAGACAGAGCATGCAGAGGGAGTGGTCCATAAGAAAGTTATGAGTGCAGCCCCAAGATAGGTTCACTTGGGAACGTATGGTCCTGTGTCATTCATCTTATTGGCACATGACAAATGCATCTTTCAAACTCAGAAGCAGGAGTCAAGCCAGGTCAATGCCAGTTCAGTCTTTTGCATATGAAAATATCTTGTAATATTACTTTAATATTGCTTGATAGTGTTTTGTTTTGTTGGTGGGCCTACTTATTGATGGTAAACAAATATTAGAGAGTGTAGCTTCAAGTGGCAATCTGCGATTGTTAAATATAATTTGGACTTTTAAATTAATGTTATACAGTGGGGTCCGAAATTATTGACACACTTTGACTACATTTTTTTGGGGAAATTATATTATTTTATGTTAATACTAATAATTGCTCAGATAGAGATTTTGTTGAACAAGTAATATTTTTTTTCTCAAAAAGGTAGGGGTCAAAATTATTGACACCCCTGTTTTCAATACCTTTCAATACCTTACCTTGTGAGGATAACGGCACTGAGCCTTTTTCTAAAATGTTTTGTGAGTTGGAGAACACATTGAAAGGGATCATTCCGCCATACAGAATCCTTCCAGATCCTTGATATATTTTGTCTGTGCTTATGGACTGCCCTCTTCAATTCAAACCATAGGTTTTCAATGGGTTTCAAGTCGGGAGACTGAGATGGCCATTTCAAACTGTTGATTTTGTGGCCAATTAACCATTTCTTTGTGAATTCTGATGTGTGTAGGGGTTATTGTCTTGCTGAAAGATCCACTTGCGGCAAAGTAGGGCTGACCCCAATTAGTCGACTGGTCAATTACTTGGTCGAAAGGCTGTTGGTCGACAAATAATTTTTTTTGTAGAGCAGTAGCAAATATATATATATATATATATTTTATGGCACACGAGACACCTGTCTTATTCGCGCTCATCTCAGTGAACAAATCCATTGCGGAGGCCGATACTAATACATTGCGGAGGCTGCGGGAATGGCACAGTCCAAGAAGAAGGAAGGTGTGGCTAAAATGCGCAATGCACGTCTCTCTCCATAATGTGCTCTCTCCCTCCAATTTGTGCACATTCATTGTTTCATAACTTCATTGTGTGAATTGTTTGTGTTTGATTGTTAGTGTCTATCAATTCCCCATGACATATATCACCAGTAGTACATTTACCGTTCATTCCTATAATTTCTAATCTACAATGTTGGTTTGATTAAGGTAATTTCTGTTAATGCTTTCAATATTTGGACACGTTATTTGCAGAGCGCACAACCTATGCTACACTTGTGAGAAACAAGTTTTGGTTTATTTCATTCCATTTACGAGTTTTATCAATTTAGTTGTTGTCTTTTGTTTGGAGCTCCTGTCAATGTTGAGTAAGGACGTGCACCTGATTACGCATAGAAGTAGGCCTATATGACCATTTGGGGATCTGATAGTATTTCTGATTGGCTTAACACACCACCACTAATGAGCTGTGGAGCTTTTCAAAGTAATGTTTTCTTCACCTCAAACAGCAAGCAAACAAAGTCTGTTCTTACATGCATTGAGAATGACAATAGTTCCTCAATGTATTTGAAAAATCTTTCCACCTTTCGATAACCACTCAGCGTGAAAGGGAAAAATGTCATGCTCTTATCCAGTGGAAACATCATAAAATAGGCCTACCTGATTACTTCTTATCCCTTGCACAAATAGCCTACACCTGTGGCTGTCCCAAGCTCACTGGCAAGGGAAACTCTGAGGGCCCAGAATATTTGATACAATGTTACAAGTTTGCTAGAGAAAGCCTCAGGCCAGACCCAAGTTAATAGTTGATTTTAAAAAATAAAGTTCGTTGCAGACAGGCCATGCATAGCCAATGTGATTGATTGGTTATTTATTTTTATCAGGATATTTTCTACTTGCAGGCTGCAATGTTTTTATTTGTTGGCTTTATGTAGGTTATTTTTACATAGTTGGCAATAGCAATAGAAGTTACTTTTTAGGTTTGTACACTACGTGACCAAAAGTATGTGGACACCTGCTCGTCGAACATCTCATTCCAAAATCATGGGCATTAATATGGAGTTGGTCCCCACTTTGCTGCTATAACAGTCTCCACTCTTCTGGGAAGGCTTTCCACTAGATGTTGGAATATTGCTGTGGGGACTTGCTTCCATTCAGCCACAAGCGCATTAGTGAGGTCGGGCACTGATGTTGGGCGATTAGGCCTGGCTCGCAGTCAGCGTTCCAATTCATCCCAAAGGTGTTCAATGGGGTTGAGGTCAGGGCTCTGTGCAGGCCAGTCAAGTTCTTCCACATCGATCTCGACAAACCATTTCTGTATGGACCTCACTTTGTGCATGGGGGCATTGTCATGCTGAAACAGTAAAGGGCCTTCCCCAAACTGTTGCCACAAAGTTGGAATGTAATTGAATGTGGTAGCATTAAGCTTTCCCTTGTGAATGTTGACCTGTTTAAAGGTCTTACTCACATTGGCTACGGAGAGCAAGATCACACAGTCGTCCGGAACAGCTGGTGCTCTCATGCATAGTTCAGTGTTGCTTGTCTCGAATAGAGTATAGATGGCATTTAGCTCATCTGGTAGGCTCGTGTCAATGGGCAGAGTTTTCAGAAAACTTTCTTGGTAAATAGTTTGGTCTGCAGTTTATCATGAGGTATTCTAACTCAATCGAGCAAAAACTCTAGACTTTCTTAACATTAGAGATCACGCACCAGCTGTTGTTAACAAAGAGAAACACCCCTCCCCCTCATCTTACCTGAGGCTGCCGACCGGTCTTGACAATGCATGGAAAAGCCAGTGAGATGTATATTATCCATGTCCTTGTTCAGCCACGACTCCATGAAACATAGAATATGACAGTTCTTCAGGTCGCGTTGGTAGTATAGTATCGAACAGAGCTCGCCCAGTTTGTTCCCTAGTGACTGTACGTTTGCCAACAGAACAGAGGGTAGAGTCGGTTTATTTGCACGCTAACGTAGTCTAGTCAGATTGACGGCACATCTGCCTCTTTAGCGCCGTTGCTTCCTCTTTCGAGTCCCAGGGATTAGGGCCTGGTCCGGAGTAAGCAGAACGTCCAGAGCTGCCGACTCGTTTACCAGAACAGCGGTGGGGTGTATGCTTTGTTATTGTTTGAACTGCAGACTACCCCTTTAAACTGATTTTGAAAACCATCTTATCAATAGACTCTGCAAATGGTTATGTGAGATATTTCACACTCTAGACCACAAGCCACAACATGTATCCTTGTATGAATCACTTAGTGCTCTTCTCTGTGTACAAACGTGCTGTGACATTCATTCAGTCGATTTATCTGAGGTCATTGCTGATGAATTAGACAGGGGTCACAGGTTAGGGGTGAAATGTTGTTGAGGTCAGGAGGTCATGAGTCATTGCAGTGTGTTTGTATTGTTCCTTCAGTGAGAGCCTGAGATGGAGCCAGACCCAGCTATGGATCATAGTGGGTGGAGGACATAGGCTATACCCTGTCTGTCCGTCCCTCCGTCTGTCTGTCTGTCATCCTATAAACTGTCATTGTTGACAATTACACATGTTGCGTATATATTCTTAGACGTGCAGAGATGACAGCAGTGACAGACATTCTTGACATTCCCCAAGATGCTTTGACATGCATGCATCCAGCTATGTGTGCTGTATACTGTATGTCCACAATGGAGTAGCAGCAGGTAGAAATCACCTTTTTAATACATTAGCCAGTTTTTTCATGTGAAATGTCACATGAAGTATTCCAAAAACAAGTTTTCACATATGAAATGTCACGTGATGTGTTCCAAAAACATGGTCTCACAGGATTTCACATGTGAAATGTCACATTTGAAGTGTTCTAAAAATGCATGTTTTCACATGATTTCACATGTAAAATGTCACATTTCACTTGTAAATCATGTGATTTTCCACATTTGAAATCATGTGGTTCAACATGTGATAACATGAAACTGCACTGTTAGCCATTGCTGTTAATTTTGAGGCCAATACGTAAAGCTTATTAAAGAGCAGTGATACTAGCAAGAGCAGTGATACTAGCAAGAGCAGTGATACTAGCAAGAGCAGTGTGAGGGTTTCTTCTTTTTTCTCATCTTATTCAACTGTTACCATGCACCTACAAAAAAGATAGCTCAGATGTGAGTGCCTTTTGAATTTTGTACCTCAAGACCAGTACCACAAATAAAACCACAAATAAAGCCGTCTGAGTTTACAGTATAGGACAGGTTCTCAGGAACCCTGCAGGGGAGTGTGGAGAAGACTCTCAAACACGCACACAGATTCACACTCAGTATCCTCTCATTTCAGGTCCCAGATCAGTTCTGCTCATCCCTATTACCCAGAGTCTGGATTAACACAGCCTTACCATTGCTGGGATGTCTCACAAATACACACAATAGACCAAGTCCAAGTTCTCAGCACCAGGACAGCAGCTGAGGCCAGCTGAGTTGATAATACACAAACAGATACACAGACACATACACGCACATACACACCACACAGTCTCGTTCTTTATCACACACACACACACACTAGGGCTATGAAGCCTTCCTAATCTTCACGGCTCTTGCTGTGTGGTCTCAGTGGTCGTGAGACAGGGAAGTGAGAGCTCCAGTGTGTGTGTATGTGTATGTGTGCAGTTCTGTTGCTCTCAGGTTTATCTCTCTTTGCGATCTCTATTTGTCATTGACCCCATTTGCTGCTTTCCAAAGCAGAGGGGTTGGATTTGAGGTTCTCCGACCCAAATCTGTCGAAAGAGGGAATGAAAAAAGGTGACGAGTTGGAGAGAAAGAAGAGAGTGAGTTGGAGGAGGAATGAGAGGAAGAGTGAAGGGGGAGAAGGATGTGGAGAGGGGGAGTAATCACAGTGGAGGAGGAAGAATGGAGGAGGAGTGGAGCGAGAGGGATGAAAACGGCAGTAGGGAGAGAGGGGGTAAAGTAGGAGGGGAGTAGAGTCTTTCTGGTGGCTGTGTACATCTGGATTCCTGAGCTCTAGGCCTCAGTGCTGACAGTCTGAAGGACGCTCACTCAGCCCAGAAGTGCACCTGACAAACAAATCTGGGAGTGCAGTCTGTTTTCACTCCTCCGTCTGACCCTGTCGGTAAGGCGAGAAGAGTCTCTCTCACACACACGCGCACGCACTCTCACGAATTAACCAGACAACAGATAGTAAAGCAGTTTTATGCTGTCAATAAATCCACTATTTATAGGGAGGAAACTACCACAATAAAATCCTCTTTAGCTTTTTACTGTATGATTTTAAAACCAGTTGCGATGTTGTGACCTTTTACTGTAAAGGAGGCCCTGTGTGTGAGTGTGGGTGTGTGGGGATGTGTGTGTTCATGTTTGCCTTTGTCTGTGTATGTGTGCACAGCGATATCTATCCTGCCCCAGTCCCCTATCAACAGAGTCAACACAGGGAGAGAGCAGGAGAGTGCGTGCATGCCCACGCACGCACGCACACGCGCAAGCACACACACACACACACACCTCACACACAGAAAGGGGGATGGCTAAATCAGTGGTTTCTCATCATTTTTGATAGCCCTATGAACCTGTTAACTTGGCATTCACACACTTCTCTGCCTCAAAATTGTTCCTCTTCTTTCCTCCCAAAACACTTCTGTGTGCCCTGGAACAGCTGTGCAGCAGTGCTACGTTTCACATGCACTAAATAATAAGGACCCCTTGGAACCTTAACAATGCCTAACATCTGAGCCTAAAGAGGCCCTAGCACTGCTTCCTGTGTGGACGGGCCAAGGAACATTTAGCAGTTGATATAGTTGCACTAGCGATAAAGAGACAGATTGAAGAAATCATGCGATAACAGTTGAGAGTGGTCATAGAGAAGCTGTTCAGGGTTTGTGGAGATGCAATGCCGAGACAGTCGATGGCTGACCCTTACGGAAAAAACACATGATTTAACATTTCCACATGTTTTGCACATGTGAAATCATGTGTTTTTGGAACAATTCACATGTGATGATATTTTTACATGTGGATTTTCACATGGTCGCATAACCTTTAACATGTGCATTCAAATTTTTACATGAGATTTCACGGGTGATGCCCTGCTAACAGAAATGTGTAATTATGATACACACAGTGCTTTTAACTTTTGTCTACTTACATATTTGACTACATGTTTATTTATACAGTAATTATTATTCAACATGTCCTTACCTAGGATTTGAACTCACAACATCTTGATTCACTGCATTCCTATCGTTCTGCTACACCAGCCACCATGTCTGTGTCAATAACTGATTTCACCTGTATTCCTACACTTTGGACTTCAAAGTACATCTCAGCTTTGTTAAAAATACACTCAAGAAAAACTATTATATTTATAATAGTGATACAGGTGTAACATTAAAGCAGAATAATATGCTCCACCAACATTAGACAACTATTCAGAAAATCCTCAAAATGCTGAAATAAAAAAAATTAAATGAATGATGAGAGAATAGTCAGATTAACTGATAACTAAAATAGCAGTGCAGATGGCATGATTTTGCTAAGTGCAGAGATGTATTATAGGTATTGAATGTGTGTGGGAGTGCTATAGACTTTGTGGCGCAACAGAAAAGTCAGTGTACCTGAACTCCAGAGATTGTGAGTTAAAATCCCAGATGGGTTCATACTTTAGCTGAACAGCGATAACACATGAAATTGCACGTGATCACGTGAAGTTCCAAAAACACGTTTTCACATATGAAATGTCACATTTGAAGTGTTCTAAAAATGTATGTTTTTAGATGATTTCACATGTAAAATTTCACATGTCACTTGTAAAATCATGTGATTTTCCACATGTGAAATCATGTGGTTCCACGTGTGATAACATGAAACTGCACTGTTAGCCATTGCTGTTAATTTTGTGGGATTTTTTTGTAATTTTACGGTGCATTTCTACAGTAATAACATACTGTATTTTGCTATATATTTACTGCCAATTGCAATGCACTTGGGTAGGCAACTTTTTGGCCCGTCCTGCAAATTAACTTGGCATGCCTCACTTGCAATTGCATTTAAACTTATAGGACACTTTAGATGCGCTTATTATTTTATAGTAAGTTACCGGCTACCGAGTTGCGGCTAAAATAGTGGAAACAACTTTTAATGTATTTCTACAGCTGAACTGTATTTTGTCAGTAAATATACAACACCGAACTATATTCAGGAAGTACACAGAATTTCCAATTCTGGAAAATTTGGAAGTGGATTTTGGTTTACATTCTGAATTGACTGGAATGTAAGTGGAATTGGCCTCAACATTGTTAGCATACTTGGACGCAACCACACCTGGGATTTGAACTCACAACCTAGGATGCCGGTAACCTGAATTTCCTGCTTTGCCACCAGGTATGTGGCCATGACAGAGATCAACCACAGATTTATTAGCAAGAATACATTTATGCATTTTGCTAAAAGTTGCCCGGAATCAAGTCAATAATTGTGTGATTGTCACGTGTTGTTTCATGTTATCACATGTAGAGATTTTGCATCCCCGTGTTGTCACATTTATTTCACATAAATTTCACGAGATCATGTTCTCACATGTGCCAACATGTTGTCACGTGTATAGTTTTATGTTATCACATTAACTTCACATTAAATCACATGTAAATCACAAATGTATGTGTTTTCTCCGCAAGGGGAGTCTCAATGACACATATGTCTTCACGTATGATTTTGGACTAAAGTATAGTGCACTGAATGGGGGAATCAAGTGTCATTGGAAATGTCAAATTATGGCCAGAATTCAATCTTGAATTTCATCACTGCACTTTCAGAAAGTGCGGTACAAAATGATTGAATTCCGACCTTGGCCATTGTGAAAAGCAGCTGTGAGTGTTGGATTTGCAACTGTCTCTAATGTTGTTCTAGACAGCTTTAGCACACAGAGTTCTACAGGAGACTCAGCATCGGCTTGAGGACTTGATGACATGTTGTTTGTTGTTGTTGTTGTTCTCTTCTCTCTCTTTCTCTCTCGCTCTCTAACAGAAACCACTGTGCGTATGTGGTCCAGAAGAACATCACATGTACGATGCAGGACGGCATGGCCACCTATGTGAAAGCTGAATACACCACCAAGTGCATCTGGGGGCAGAAGTGTCCTGTCGTCATGTAAGTCTACACTCTTACAAAAAATATTACATTCCAACTAAATTAAATTCCAAAGATTTAATGTTTTTACAATTCCAATTCAATTCCCATTAAAAAAGTCCAAACAGTTTAATTCCAATTCAATTCCAATTCTATAACTTTAAGATTTTTTAAATTAGGATTTAATTATATTTAAATGCTCCACTTCATGAGTGAATTCAATAATTTAATTGGAATTTCAAATTCAATTGGAATTGACCCCAACCCTGAAAGTTACTGTACTCAATTCAGACCCACCAGCCTCTGACTCTACCATACTTACAGTAACATGAGAGAGGATACATACAAATTAGATACTGACAGTAGCTAGCTTTCCATCCAATTGGCAACATATTTTAATGGAAATATTCTAAAATCTGAAACCCACCAGTGGTGTTTCCACCAAACTGGCTTGTTGCAGATAAAAATCAATGAAAATCTAATGTTCAAATTGTTTCCATCGCATTTTCAACTCTACTGAGGTGTGTCACAAAAACTGTTGTTTTAAATTGCAAATGTGCCTAATCTGGTCTTGGTACTTGCGCTCTAGCCAACAGCTCGCAGATACAGTACGGGTAGGCTCTGCAGGTAGGTTAGTCTACATGATGATATTATGGATACAGTGAGGGAAAAAAGTATTTGATCCCCTGCTGATTTTGTACGTTTGCCCACTGACAAAGAAATGATCAGTCCATAATTTTAATGGTAGGTTTATTTGAAAAGTGAGAGACAGAATAACAACAAAAAAATCCAGAAAAACGCATGTCAAAAATGATTTGCATTTTAATGAGGGAAATAAGTATTTGACCCCCTCTCAATTATAAGGATTTCTGGCTCCCAGTGTCACGATCGTTACCGGATGAGACGGACCAAGGCGCAGCGTGATAAGCGTACATATTTTATTAAGTACACACACGAACCAAAACAACAAACAAACGATACGTGAAGTCCTAGGTTACAACACAAACCTTAACGGAACAAGATTCCACATTTGACTAATGCCAAACGGGCTGCCTAAGTATGGTCCCCAATCAGAGACAACGAGCTACAGCCGTCTCTGATTGGGAACCACCCTGGCCAACATAGATAAACACGAACTAGAACAAAACCCAATGAAAACTAAACATAGAAAATCCACACCCTGGCTCAACAATTAAGAGTCCCCAGAGCCAGGACGTGACAGTACCCCCCCCCCCCCCCCCCAGGACCGCGCCACACCAACACAACAGGGTAGGGGCCGGGTGGGCATTCCGCCTCGGAGGCGGATCCGGCTCCGGGCGTGACCACCACTCTCTCTCTACCCCCCCCGTTGCGCCCCTGGTCTGGTCTGGCCCCGCTGGCCGGAGCTGGACTCAACACCGGTGGAGCGGATTGCTCTGGCTCCGGAGTGGAGCAGCTGACCGGTGCCGGACCAGGCACCGGTGGAACAGGCACGGACCGTGCCGGACTGACGACGCGCACCACTGGCTTGGTGCGGGGAGCAGGTACTGGCCGGACCGGGCTGACAACGCACACCACTGGCTTGGTGCGGGGAGCAGGAACAGGCCAGACCGGGCTGGCAACGCGCACCACTGTCTTGGTGCGGGGAGCAGGAACAGGCCGGACCGGGCTGGCGACGCGCACCACTGGCTTGGTGCGGGGAGCAGGAACAGGCCGGACCAGGCTGGCGACGTGCACCACAGGCTTGGTGCGAGGGACAGGAACAGGCCGGACCGGGCTGGCGACGCGCACCACTGGCTTGGTGCGGGGAGCAGGAACAGGCCGGACCGGGCTGGCAACGCGCACCACAAGCTTGGTGCGGGGAGCAGGAACAGGCCGGGCTGGACTGGGAGCACGCACCATAGGCTTGGTGTGGGGAGCAGGAACAGGCCGGAAAGGGCTGGCGACGCGCACCACTGCCTTGGTGCGGGGAGCAGGAACAGGCCGGGCTGGACTGTGGAGGCGGACTGGAGATCTGGAGCGGAGAGCTGACACAACCCGTCCTGGCTGAATGCCTACTTCCACACAATATGTGTGAGGCATCAGCACAGGACGTACAGGGCTGTGCACTCGTACTGGCGCTACAGCACGTGGCACTGGCGCAGGATATACGGGACCGAGGAGGGGTACTGGAGGCCACGAGCGTTGAGCCGGCACACTCCGTCCTGGCTGCATGCCCACCTTAGCACGACACGTGCGTGGTGCTAGCACAGGACGTACAGGACTGTGCCGGAACACTCGCGGCACAGTACGTGGCTCAGCCAAGCACCCTTTTAGCCCCCCCCAAACATTTTATTGGGGCTGTCTCTCAAGCTTCCTCCTCGGCCAGTACCCTCTGCGTTGCCGCTGCTCCTCTCTGTAGCGCGCCTCCACAGTCTCCTCTCCTGCCTGGGCATACACCTTTGCCCATGGCCCTCTGCCCGCGAATATCTCCTCCCATGACCACCATTCGCCCACCTGAGCCATCGCCCTCTTCTCCTCCTGGGCACCAGTTAGTTGGTGGGATCTTCTGTCATGATCGTTACCGGATGAAGCGGACCAAGGCTCAGCGTGATAAACGTACATACTTTATTAAGTACACACACGAATCAAAACAACAAACAAACGATACGTGAAGTCCTAGGTTACAACACAAACCTTAACGGAACATGATCCCACATTTGACTAGTGCCAAACGGGCTGCCTAAGTATGGTCCCCAATCAGAGACAACGAGCTACAGCCATCTCTGATTGGGAACCACCCTGGCCAAAATAGATAAACACGAACTAGAACAAAACCCAATGAAAACTAAACATAGAAAATCCACACCCTGGCTCAACAATTAAGAGTCCCCAGAGCCAGGGCGTGACACCCAGGTGTCCTTTATACAGGTAACGAGCTGAGATTAGGAGCACACTCTTAAAGGGAGTGCTCCTAATCTCAGTTTGTTACCTGTTTAAAAGACACCTGTCCACAGAAGCAATCAATCAATCAGATTCCAAACTCTCCACCATGGCCAAGACCAAAGAGCTCTCCAAGGATGTCAGGGACAAGATTGTAGACCTACACAAGGCTGGAATGGGCTACAAGACCATCGCCAAGCAGCTTGGTGAGAAGGTGACAACAGTTGGTGCGATTATTCGCAAATGGAAGAAACAAAAAATAACTGTCAATCTCCCTCGGCCTGGGGCTCCATGCAAGATCTCACCTCATGGAGTTGCAATGATCATGAGAACGTTGAGGAATCTGCCCAGAACTACACAGGATGATCTTGTCAATGATCTCAAGGCAGCTGGGACCATAGTCACCAAGAAAACAATTGGTAACACACTACGCCGTGAAGGACTGAAATGCTGCAGCGCCCGCAAGGTCCCCCAGCTCAAGAAAGCACATATACAGGCCCGTCTGAAGATTGCCAATGAACACCTGAATGATTCAGAGGAGAACTGGGTGAAAGTGTTGTGGTCAGATGAGACCAAAATCTAGCTCTTTGGCATCATCTCAACTCGCTGTGTTTGGAGGAGGAGGAATGCTGCCTATGACCCCAAGAACACCATCCCCACGTCAAACATGGAGGTGGAAACATTATGCTTTGGGGGTGTTTTTCTGCTAAGGGGATAGGACAACTTCACCGCATCAAACGGACGATGGACGGGGCCATGTACCGTCAAATCTTGGGTGAGAACCTCCTTCCCTCAGCCAGGGCATTGAAAATGGGTCGTGGATGGGTATTTCAGCATGACAATGACCCAAAACACAAGGCCAAGGCAACAAAGGAGTGGCTCAAGAAGAAGCACATTAAGGTCCTGGAGTGGCCTAGCCAGTGTCCAGACCTTAATCCCATAGAAAATCTGTGGAGGGAGCTGAAGGTTCGAGTTGCCAAACGTCAGCCTCGAAACCTTAATGACTTGGAGAAGATCTGCAAAGAGGAGTGGGACAAAATCCCTCCTAAGATGTGTGCAAACCTGGTGGCCAACTACAAGAAACGTCTGACCTCTGTGATTGCTAACAAGGGTTTTGCCACCAAGTACTAAGTCATGTTTTGCAGAGGGGTTAAATACTTATTTCCCTCATTAAAATGCAAATCAATTTCTAACATTTTTGACATGCGTTTTTCTGGATTTTTTTGTTGTTATTCTGTCTCTCACTGTTCAAATAAACCTACCATTAAAATTATAGACTGATCATGTCTTTTTCAGTCGGCAAACGTACAAAATCAGCAGGGGTTCAAATACTTTTTTCCCTCACTGTAAGAGCGAGAATGTTTTTATTTATCAAAATAGCAGTGAAGCATCGATCATCATGTCACCAGAATAACACTCTGGATATTTATTGGAAAGCTCACCACCCTGTGAAGTTCAGCATATCGTATTTCATCTGTAGCCTAATAAACTGCATGGTAGGCCTATCGCTAGTTGTAGTAGGAGGACCACACACCATGACTCGCATGACTCCAAGTTTACTTTGATTTGATAGTTATTATTTTACATTTTAGTCATTTAGCAGACGCTCTTATCCAGTGTGACTTACAGTTAGTGAGTGCATACATTTTTCATACTGGCCCCCCGTGGGAATTATATCAATATTTGTGCATAAAGGTGTTTCCACTGCCATTTCTTGTAACATTTATTTTACAGACACAAAAAGATCCCACAATGACGAACGAACAAATTATCTGTCAGCATTAATTAAATTGTACCAAAACTTCCTGTTTCCATCACAACTGTCATAATTTTTTAAAATATGGTATGACTTTACTCGCATAAAACTGTGGATGGAAGCGTGGTTTGTGAGACTACTGTTGTACACTTTCCATAGTTTTGACAGGCATAGCAAAGTAGGCAGTGTCAAAAGTCGTGGTCAAAAGTTTTGAGAATGACACAAATATAAATTTTCACGAAGTCTGCTACCTCAGTTTTTATGATGGCAATTTGCATATACTCCAGAATGTTATGAAGAGTGATCAGATGAATTGCAATTAATTGCAAAGTCCCTCTTTGCCATTAAAATGAACTTAATCCCCCCCAAAAATGTCCATGCTTTTCAGCCCTGCCACAAAACGACCAGCTGACATCATGTCAGTGATTCTCTCGTTAACACAGGTGAGAGTGTTGACGAGGACAAGGCTGGAGATCACTCTGTCATGCTGATTGAGTTAGAATAACAGACTGGAAGCTTTAAAAGGAGGGTGGTGCTTGAAATCATTGTTCTTCCTCTGTTAACCATGGTTACCTGCAAGGAAACATGTGCCGTCATCATTGCTTTGCACAAAAAGGGCTTCACAGGCAATGATATTGCTGCTAGTAAGATTGCACCTAAATCAACCATTTATCGGATCATCAAGAACTTCAAGGTGAGAGATTCAATTGTTGTGAAGAAGGCTTCAGGGCGCCCAAGAAAGTCCAGCAAGCGCCAGGACCGTCTCCTAAATTGATTCAGCTGCGGGATCGGGGCACCACCAGTGCAGAGCTTGCTCAGGAATGCTAGCAGGCAGGTGTGAGTGCATCTGCACTCACAGTGAGGTGAAGACTTTTGGAGGATGGCCTGGTGTCAAGAAGGGCAGCAAGGAAGCCACTTCTCTCCAGGAAAAACATCAGGGACAGACTGATATTCTGCAAAAGATACAGGGATTGGACTGCTGAGGACTGGGGTAAAGTCATTTTGTCTGATGAATCCCCTTTCCGATTGTTTGTGGCATCCGAAAAAAAGCTTGTCCGGAGAAGACAAGGTGAGCGCTACCATCAGTCCTGTGTCATGCCAACAGTAAAGCATCCTGAGACCATTCATGTGTGGGGTTGCTTCTCAGCTAAGGGAGTGGGCTCACTCACATGAATAAAGAATGGTACCAACACATCCTCTGAGAGCAACTTCTCCCAACCATCAAAGAACAGTTTGGTGACGAACAATGCCTTTTCCAGCATGATCGAGCACCTTGCCATAAGGCAAAGGTGATAACTAAGTGGCTCGGGGAACAAAACATCAACATTTTGGGTCCATGGCCAGGAAACTCCCCAGACCTTAATCCCATTGAGAACTTGTGGTCAATCCTCAAGAGGCGGGTGGACAAACAAAAACCCACAAATTCTGACAAATTCCAAGCATTAATTATGCAATAATGGGCTGCCATCAATCAGGATGTGGCCCAGAAGTTAATTGACAGCATGCCAGGGCGGATTGCAGAGGTCTTGGAAAAGAAGGGTCAACACTGCAAATATTGACTCTTTGCATAAACTTAATGTAATTGTCAATAAAAGCCTTTGACACTTATGGAGTGCTTGTAATTATACTTCAGTATACCATAGTAGCATCTGACAAAAATATCTAATAACACTGAAGCAGCAAAATTCGTGAAGACCAATACTTGTGTCATTCTCAAAACTTTTGACCACGACTGTTCTATGCATTGGGACACATGTATTAGTGCTGCCCCCTGGTGGTGTCAGTTTATACTACTAGTTAACTCCACACTGTCCCTCCAGCTGCACTTCCAGCTGTGTTTGTGGTCAGTGGCTCTGTGACTCTGCTCAGGCCTCAAAGGTTGGAAAGTGTTAATGCTCTGCTAGTTTTCACAATAATTGGATTGTTATAAAATTGGACAATTTCTTTCCATCTCAGTGGATTATAAACAAACTCATATTATGGTTATTACAGAGGCAACCTTTTCAGTATAAGCTTACAATAACCTGTCAGTGAAATTGTGCTGTTTCTGTTTGTGTGCATGCATGAGTGCGTGTGTGTGCGTGCGTGTGTGTGCGTGTGTGTGTGTGTGTTTGTGCGTGTGTGTGTGTCTATAGCTCATCTCTGTAATGAGTGTATGAGCTGGGATGTCAGATTCTTGCTGATGTGACTGAAGCCTCTCAAAGGTCACCTGTAGTGACATCACAGAGAGAAAGAATCAAAGGATTTCTACTTCAAATAAAATGGAGGGAATGAGAGAGAGAGAGAGAGAGAGAGAGAGAGAGAGAGAAGAGAGAGAGTAGAGATCACTATTCTTCAGTAGAAGAGTAGAGTAGACACTTTAAGACATAACAGTCTCAGTGAGGGCAATGACCCTTGTAACAATCCCTCATCTGAGAACGCATCATCTTCACACTAAACCGTCTCTTTATCTCCTAATCTACTGTTCATACCCTCCCCAATCTCATTATACAAACCCTGATCCTTTGATCTATCCTCTCCTCTCCTCCCATCTCACTTTCTAAGATAGTCACTGACCTCTTGTTATCTTCTCTCTGCTCCTCTCCATCCTCCACTCCAGGTACCGGACCTTCTACAAGCCTAAGTATAAGGTGGGCTATAAGAGGATTACTGAGCTGGAGTGGAGGTGTTGTCCTGGCTACTCTGGGGAGAACTGCTACGATGGACCCACCTCTCTGCCCGATATGCCTCCCTTCAAAGGGGGTGCCCCACACCGACCAGGGATTAAGGGGTACCCCCATGGGCACCCCCATGGGCACCCCCACGGGCACCCCCGACCTCCCCTGAACCACAAACCTGTCCCTGGTGGGGCTAATCTGGAGCCAGGGAGGCCCTTCCCAAGTCAGCCTGATAGAAGACCCATCCCCACTGGACAACTGCCCGCCGGGAACGGCAAACCCAAATATGGTGAGACCAGACAGGGGGTGAAATATTTGCCAATTTATATTTTCAAACCCTGATATACTCTTCCCCTCTCCTCCCCTTGCCCTATGTAATAACTTTTTTTTATCTCTAGGTAATACAATTGGTGTTAGTGGAGACTGTCTGGATCGTATGGAGGAGGACCTGCTTCGTCTAACCCAGGGTCTGGACACTCTGAACGGGGTGATGGCTGGCCTAGAGGACCGCCTGCGCCTCTCTCTCCGGGAGGACACAAAAAATATGCTGGGCTCCCTGCTCTCCACCATCCCTCGTCTTTCAGACTCCTCTGTTGGCTTCGGGGTGATCCCAGACGGGACCCCAGATGGCCTGGAGTGGGGAGAGGGTTTTCCCGGGTTTGGAGAACTGGCTGGGAGGGTGACAGAGGTGAAGGATGAGCTCAAAGCCAAGGGACATGTGCTTGAGAAAATACAGGTGGGTGCCACATTTTTGTTAATGTTATTAGACTGGTTTATGCTAGTTTATGGAAATGTAGAAAAACAAGCAGATGTCTAAATCAATAATATAACTTTTGGAACAATGCTGATTGGTAACATTCTGAATCTCACACTGAGATTCTGTATATCTATGTCTCTGGACTGGGCTATTTCCACACAATGTCAATCACTTACAGTGTCAAATGAATTTGAGGAAAGTGCTACCTAAAGCCAAACCATTGTCATTGTCATTCCTCAGGGAATGGTTCTGGGCCATGAAGGGCAGCTGAAAAGGCTGTTGGAAGCTGCGACCGGCAGGCCCATCACTGGGTCAGTCTCTCCCTCCATCCTGGAGGAGCTGCTGGATGCTAAACTAGCAGGTGTCCGCGCTGACATCCTGGACGGCTTTGAGAGGCGTCTGTCTGGCCTGGAGAACCACTGTGAGGAGAGGATAGGAGAGGTCCAGAGACAGTGCCATAATGAACACATGAACGGCCAGGAGCAGATGCAGCAGTCGCTGGACGGCAGAGAGACTGGACTGAGAGAGGAGCTGGGTACTCTGCAAGCCCAGATACAGGGACTCACCCTCACGGAGAGCTGCTGTGGACAGGTACCAATTATCTTTGGTGTTTCTCAATGCTACTGGACATGGCATGTTTTTATTGAGGCAACAGAAATACATCAATACTTCAAACACTAGCTACCACATCAAATGTGGTAGCTAGCTACCAGTTACTAGTTATCTGTAAATATTAAATATTCAGTTAAATATTACCCCTACTGCAACATTCATTTATTTATGATAAGCCTCTGTGGATAAGAGGTTCTGCTAAATGGCTAAAACTTGTATATCACAAAAATATTTGCAAAATGTCTTATCGCTAAACTATATGCCTGACATGTGACTGTCCCTGCAGGTGAACAGCCTGTCCCAGAGGATGTTGATGCTGGAGGAGTCAGTGAAGGGGTTAACAGAGTCCCAGCGGCAGCTTCAGGCTGCTCTCACTGACCAGACCATCCACATTGAGACCCTGATAGAGGCCCGTCTGGAAGACATAGATGCCAGGCTCCATGCCACCGAGTCTGGGGATGTAGGGGTTGGCGGGGTGCCTGGAGGCCTGGACGGCTTCAAGACCCTGCTGGAGGACAAGCTGAAGTCCCTGGAGGAGAGGGTGTTTGTGGCCGTGGAGGAGCTGAGTAACGCCACCACCCCAGCTGTGCTGGAGGGTCAGGTGATGCCTGCCCTGGAGACAGAGATTGAGTCGGTCATGAGGAGGGTGGAGGGAGACCTGGACGGCATCCAGAGACAACTCACAGACCTGGAGCTCCTCTGCACCTCCTCCTGCTCCCACGCCACTCCCCCTGGAGGAGGCGCAGTGATAGGCCTAGCAGAGGAGTGTGAGGAGGTGGAAAAGAAGGTGTCAGGCCGTCTAGACTCCCATGCTGACCAGCTGGACCGTCTCAATACCACTCTGCAGACCCTACTGAACCGCATTGCCCAGGAGGACGAGGAAGGCTCTGTCCAGGGAGAGATCACCCTCCTCAAGATCAACGTCAACTCTGTCAACCGCACCCTGAAGGGCCTGAGGGACTCTGTTAGCCTGTTCACTAAGGAAGTGGGCCATGCTAACGCCACGTGGACACACAGGGAGAACCAGCTAGCCACCCAGGTCCAGGGCATCACCCAGCTAGTGGGGCGCCAGGCCTCCCTCCTAGGGGCCGGGGAGCACCGACTTGCCCAGCTGAAGGGGGAGCTGGTGAGCCTGAGAAGGAGGCTGGCCGGGGAGCTGCAGGGCTGCAGGAGCACGGCCCTGGGGGTGCAGAGGGAGGTGAAGGAGGTGGATAGTCGCGTGACCCAGGTGGAGGGACAGTGTGGCAGCCTGGGGGAGCTGGCGGACCACCTGGAGAGGATCAGGACAGAGCTGGAGAGACACTCAGACTCGTACCTGTCACAGGTCAAAGGAACGATGGCCAGTCACTCTACACAGCTGTCCGTGCTGAAGGGGGAAATGAAAGACTATGTCGGAAAGGGCTTAGCCAATCAGAGGGGAGACCAGTAGCACCTGAGCTACAGAGAAAGACGTGTGTATGTCAGTAGTGTGGAGAGGCTTCCTCTCGTCGTCTGCTTTCCTTCATCTGATCTAATGGGAAAGTTGAGAACAAATTCCGAGCAGGATTCATATTTCTTTCACCTATCCTGTGTTTTCAGATCAGTGAAGGAGAGGAGATGAGGAGAATAGGCCATTTGAAGCTATTGAAATGCACCCTTGGATGTATAGTTGGGCAATATTTTCCCTCAAGTTTTTATTCTAAAGGGGCATTTAGTTTCTTTCTGATATTTTTGTTGTTTTCATATTTTATATTGATATTAACTGACTTTTTAACTTATATGAAGAAAAGATGACTGCATTGTTATACTGTATTAGAGATATTTGTATAAACCAAAAACAAAAACAAAGTGAATGATATCCCACTGGGCACAGACGTCAATTCAAAGTCTATTCCACGTTGGTTCAACATAATTTGATTGAAATGACGTGGAAATAACATTGATTCAACCAGTGTGTGCCCAGTGGGTTGGGACTAATGAGCTGCTATGGGTTTCTACCCTGCAAGCACACTCTACCCTCTGTGTGGACTGTTCCTTTAAAAATACTGTATGTCAATATGAAAGCTGCTATACATTTTCTAAACATTTTCCTTTTTTGTATTTCTCCTTAAAGGTCCCGAACATCATCAAATTAGATGAGATTTTGATGAAACCAGTTCAAAGTAGGGTGACCCAAGTATTCAAAATGACTGTAGCTGATACATTGATAAAGTTTTATAATAAAGTTACTGGTCCCCTCCAACCATGTCAAACACTTGGATTTAGGAGGAAGGCCAGATACTCCTTTCTCTAATATCTCTGGACATGCATAACCAAGGATTTGCTTCCGGCTTTATGCAACGTCACATAAATGTAATACACCAATGGTAGGGTCTTATCACATGAACATATTAAATACTGTATGTACTGCCTTAAAACCGTCATCACATGTGCGCCTATGCCTTGATTTGACTTTGTTTACAAACCGTAAGCTAGTATCTAGCTCAAACAGAACGTACGACCAAAGATTCTGGTAACCTTTCATCTGTTGTCTGACTGTTAGGTAGCAAGCTACTTACCAGCGTGCCAGCAAAAGCACACTATGTTGTGACTGGATGCTATAGTGTAAAATTAACCTTACGCTATTTTCCGAAGAATTAAGACATCAGATAGCAGTGGCTGCTTTTCATTTCGGGTGGACAGGCTGCAGCAAGAATTATGATCATGTCACGCGCGTGCAGTGCACATTTCGAGTGAAGTTGCTTTATCAATTGGGGAGAACATTCGATGAGTCTTGCCAGGAAGCTAATCCTGAAGACAGATGCTGTCCCATCATTGACAGTGGATCTTGCAAGCGCTGACCATAATGTAAGTATCAGAGTTTGATGAGTCTGACACGGTAGCCAACATTTTGGGGGGATCGAAGGGCTAACGTTAGATAATGCAACTGTGGCTGTGGCTGCTTTGACTTGTGAACGGTATACTTTCCGTAAGACACATGATAGTCACTATGTATTTTTTATCTTCCATCCCTAAGCCCCCTACATTTAGTCTTAGAACTGCCAGCACACAGCTGGCCCGAAGGAATGTTGTCCACAAAATGATTTGCAGTGTGTATAGTATTTGTAATTTACCCCTGAAAATAATATTTTGCCATTTCATTCAAAATGTTCAAATTCAAAAACACCAGAAAACACATTGTAGAATGAGTAGATAACTACATTAACAAATGGATAGCATCCTAACTTAGAACAGTAAATTAAATTAAATTCACTACCCATTTAACAAACATTTCCCTTTTCAAAAACATTACAGGCTACGTAGACAGGCTCCTGGATCTCCTCTTCGATGAGATCACCTTTGATCCAGCGCCATATGTGAGGAAGCTGTACGAGCATAACAGGACCCCTGTCTACCCAGTGTGAGCTGGATTTGTCTCCTGCTTCAATCTTTGGGGTGACTGAAGCCAAGTGGGTGACTGAAGCCTGCTTGATTGAAGCGGGTACATGAGTCCCCCTCTTCCTCTCCCCTCCCCACAATCTCTGTAGTTGGTTGTATTTCCTGAATCCTAAGTAATTAACTTTTACGTGATATGATATCACTTTTTTTTTTTTTAAGCATTCGGACAGGAGATGTGTTACAAATTATACAAATCAATGGGTCCTGCACACTGTAGGGCGGCCTGGCCCTATATTGGGCTTATGGCTCTAATGATGTATTTTATGTCAAATGATGTCTCACCATTATTTCTCACCTTTATTTCTCATGAGTGTTCATGTTGATCTTTTAGCTATGCTGGCCTATCGTAAAATACCAAATAAATGTCTGATCAATACATACAATTCTGAACATATTGTCATTTATAATGCTAATGCAGAGGCACCAATAAATTGTCCAGTACATTTATTGTATGCTCATGTACATTCCCTTATGTCTAAGGTGACGCAGGCTTTACAAATTCTTGTGAAGAAGTGTATCAGTGAACTGTATTCTGTAATTAGTTACAAAACAATAGAAATGCAATTGTGTATTGCTGCTGTTTGTCTAGTATCCAACAGCCCACGATCAGCTCTGTTGACCATGAGAGCATTTGCAGAGAAAATGTAGGCTCAGAATGAGATGTGGCCCATTGTTTACCTTGTTACCTGGCAATGACCACAAAGGCATTTCAAAGACCTGTCAGTCAAGGAAAGCTCATGAATATATACAGTGGGGAGAACAAGTATTTGATACACTGCCGATTTTGCAGGTTTTCCTACTTACAAAGCATGTAGAGGTCTGTAATTTTTATTATAGGTACACTTCAACTGTGAAAGACGGAATCTAAAACAAAAATCCAGAAAATCACATTGTATGATTTTTAAGTAATTCATTTGCATTTTATTGCATGACATAAGTATTCGATACATCAGAAAAGCAGAACTTAATATTTGGTACAGAAACCTTTGTTTGCAATTACAGAGATCATACGTTTCCTGTAGGTCTTGACCAGGTTTGCACACACTGCAGCAGGGATTTTGGCCCACTCCTCCATACAGACCTTCTCCAGATCCTTCAGGTTTCGGGGCTGTCGCTGGGCAAGACGGACTTTCAGCTCCCTCCAAAGATTTTCTATTGGGTTCAGGTCTGGAGACTGGCTAGGCCACTCCAGGACCTTGAGATGCTTCTTAAGGAGCCACTCCTTAGTTGCCCTGGCTGTGTGTTTCGGGTCGTTGTCATGCTGGAAGACCCAGCAACGACCCATCTTCAATGCTCTTACTGAGGGAAGGAGGTTGTTGGCCCCATCCATCCTCCCCTCAATACGGTGCAGTCGTCCTGTCCCCTTTGCAGAAAAGCATCCCCAAAGAATGATGTTTCCACCTCCATGCTTCACGGTTGGGATGGTGTTCTTGGGGTTGTACTCATCCTTCTTCTTCCTCCAAACAGGGCGAGTGGAGTTTAGACCAAAAAGCTCTATTTTTGTCTCATCAGACCACATGAACTTCTCCCATTCCTCCTCTGGATCATCCAGATGGTCATTGGCAAACTTCAGACAGGCCTGGACATGCCCTGGCTTGAGCATGGGGACCTTGCGTGCGCTGCAGGATTTTAATCCATGACGGCGTAGTGTGTTACTAATGGTTTTCTTTGAGACTGGTCCCAGCTCTCTTCAGGTCATTGACCAGGTCCTGCCGTGTAGTTCTGGGCTGATCCCTCACCTTCCTCATGATCATTGATGCCCCACGAGGTGAGATCTTGCATGGAGCCCCAGACCGAGGGTTATTGACCGTCATCTTGAACTTCTTCCATTTTCTAATAATTGCGCCAACAGTTGTTGCCTTCTCACCAAGCTGCTTGCCTATTGTCCTGTAGCCCATCCCAGCCTTGTGCAGGTCTACAATTTTATCCCTGATGTCCTTACACAGCTCTCTGGTCTTGGCCATTGTGGAGAGGTTGGAGTCTGTTTGATTGAGTGTGTGGACAGGTGTCTTTTATACAGGTAACGAGTTAAAACAGGTGCAGTTAATACAGGTAATGAGTGGAGAACAGGAGGGCTTCTTAAAGAAAAACTAACAGGTCTGTGAGAGCCGGAATTCTTACTGGTTGGTAGGTGATCAAATACTTATGTCATGCAATAAAATGCAAATGAATTACTTAAAAATCATACAATGTGATTTTCTGGATTTTTGTTTTAGATTCCGTCTTTCACAGTTGAAGTGTACCTATGATAAAAATTACAGACCTCTACATGCTTTGTAAGTAGGAAAACCTGCAAAATCGGCAGTGTATCAAATACTTGTTCTCCCCACTGTATAAGCTCCCCACCCAAGCAGACTGTTCTTTCAGGCTTCCTGATATTTAGAGATGAGAGAGAAAGGTACAATGTCTTCAATTCTGAGCGTTTTAATAGTGTAAAAATGCTATGGGTGATGCTTTGGTCATTCAAAGGCTATTTTTACTTTTAAACTGTTGTGGTTTCTTTTCTGGTCATTCTGATGTCTAAGATATAATAGTAGTATGCTGAAGTTTTTTGGTACTAGAGGGTCTCTAGTAGCCTGGTCCCAGATCTGTTTGTGCTCTTACCATCTCCATTTCTCATTGTCAAGCCAAACAATGAATGACAGGGAGTTGACATAATAGCAAAAACAGACCAGCACTTGTAAAAAGAAAACGTCACATTTCTCATGTTCTGATGCAGTTCTAAGAATAACCAGCAGGAGGCATCAACTCCTCTGATAACAGAGATTTTATGGTTTATTTAGTATTTCAGTGGTATTTCCAACTAGAGAGTAAACAGAGCGATAGGATATGACTCTGCGCACAAGAGCTGCACTGTCAGCAGGTTTACTGCATCATCAGCACTGGTTGGAAGTCGACAAGATATTACAATGAGAACCAAAGACTAACCGTGAGTCCTTGTTTTGGTGGGGGGGGGGGGGGGGGGGGGGGGTGAGAGATAGGATGCAGTCATAGAGAAAGGATGGGCAGGCTACAGAGGGAAATAATTTCAACGAGTGAAAGAAAGGATGGAAGTGAAAGGAGGGGGAGGAAGGGTGAGTGTATCGAGATGGGAAAGACTGCTGAGGTTGGCAGTGTTAGAGATGGAAGGGGATGGGTGAGAGGGAGGAAGGAAGATGGGGAGGAGGAGAGGAGAGTGTTTGAGGATCAGATGGGTGTACAGGCAGGAGTCACGACAAGGCCGTGGAACTGCTGTGATAGAGTGCGTGCGCGCACGCACACACACGCACACTTTTTCCCAGTCAGTAA